TCCCCTGTAACACCCCTGCTAACCTGAACGATTTACCTTCAATGCGATTCAGTTTTTTCGAAATAATATAATATGTATATTGTCGATGTTATGAGGCAGTTACTCCTAAAAATGGCATGATCTGCAGCGCAATCAATGCGTTATATTATAATTCAAACAGCTAACTATTAGTTTTTTTCATCCTTCAGGGTACTTGGTTCAGTGGTACTATTCAGTGATCCATCAACATACTGACAGAGTAAGTTTTATTTCCTTTACAAGTTTACTTCGTTCACACGATTCAGATGTTCTATGTTAATACCACTCAAGACAATTAAGGCATGGCTTTCACTTTATTGCACCAAAAAAATAGGGGGGTGGTCTATCTTCTAAGGCTTTAACCACACTAACCTAAAACTTTTTCAGATTAGTAGGTTTGAAAATTTTGTCTTATATATCGGGATGATATATCCTACTCAGGTCACGAGACTTCTTACGGCCCAGAACTTCCAAAAAACCTTTGAGTGAAAATGGCACCAGTTTACATCAGCATTCATTTAACTTAAATGAACCGAAGATAACTCAAAAGGTTACCACCAAAACATCTGTGCCCGGACTTAGAGGCTGCTTTCATTAAGAAAGGCAAAGATAGTTTATCAGGGGTGGATCGTGGATTTTTCTTAGGAGGGGATGCACCACTAAGGAATGGCGTAACTGACTGGTGAGGTGAACAAATATTAAAAGCGAATACGAGGAAGAAGGGTTCAGCTCAGGGGGGAGGGGTACATCCCACCTGCACCCTCCCCGTAGGTACGCCCCTGAGTTTTACATGCATAAAGAGTTTTCCTTTCTTATTCCAACACGCGCACTTCACCATATACTGCCATATTCAAATTAAAACTAACCTAAACTCGGTACACTAGGATCTAGCAATTGATTTCTATTAGTGCTCGTGTGTACCCAGTTCACAAGTATCCTAAATAAAGCAGCTTGCAAAGAAGCAAACAAATTAAACAAACAAAACAACAAGCAAACAATAGAAAATGAGCATCCTTCCTCAAAAAAGTACTTTGTTTCCAATACATCCTCCTCCTCCTCCACTAAGCTGCCAAAAGCAAAACCCACAAATGTACGCATAGTCTTTCCTGTTCCACACATCGTTCTTACGTTCCAAGTTCCCATCCTGATAGCTCTTTTTCCGAGAAGGGTGTTCGGCCTTGCGGCTTCCAGATTTATCCGGCTTTCACCGCAAAGCGTCATCCTTTTTCTTTGTGATGGTCCTCTTCTCCAAGAGCTGAGGTAGCTTGGGTCATTCTTGTATGTGTTTCTGCAGCAAGCAAATTTTTTACGGGGTGAGGTTGCTAGCCTCACGCCCAACCCTCCTCCTTTCTCACCCGGGCTTGGGACCGGCCATGGCGGAGTTCCGCTATGCGTACAAATGTACGCATAGCGGACCTATATTCTGTTTTGAGCTTGGCTGGTTGTAGATGGTCAAATTAAGTCTTGACACCGATTTATTATTTGTCCTCTACTTTGAACCTTTGTAACACTATTTAATAATAAAACTGTTCATAAATTTATTCTGATCAGGATCAGAACTGAACCCTGCGAGGTAGAGATTTTATTCCCTTGTCTTCGGCTCGGTAAGAGGCAGTGAAGGGAATATCTGTCTCGTAGCGATTCAGAGCTGCAACCGTGATTCATAAAGTCATGAAATGGACCTAGAACTAAGAGCTTTAAGGCCTTTCTCGGCGCGACCTCTTACACCTTATTAAGTTGCCTTTATTCATCTAGCTTCAAAAATACGCTATGAATACCATCGAGACTAATGTCTGTTGGTAAGCTTTTGCTTTCTAACTGCTGTGTTGAATAATACATAAATTGCAAATTTATCTCATTTCTGACTTCCTGTATATGGCAAGCATGCCCCTGAACCCGTTTTTTCTTTCCTTGCCCTGCCGGCTTTTCTTTCTTCTTTATTTACGAAACAATTTTAACCAACCTCAAATTTTCTTTCTTTTCGTGATCAGTTCCTTGATCTTTGCCGATAAGAAAGGATGTCTCTGCAGCTGTTTAAGGACGAGCGGTTGAACTGTTTCAAGTTTGCTTCTATTGTACTGAATGAATTCCCCAAGGCTTTACGCCAAACGTTCAAATCCATGTGGGACAACACCTTTGGACACCTTCCTGATTTCCAACCCTGGGATGACTCCATTGCGGTAAGAAATATGTTTCTTGGTTCAGAAGGTGGCAGGACCAAAGTTCCCACAAACCTCTCTTGCGAAGAATGGGATTGTACCGCCTTGTTCCAGGCCACTATTTACGCGCGGTCCTTCGCTTTGCCTGACAGCGCTGGTCACCACAAGACTCTCAGTGATCTGTTTGTGAAGCCTCATAAGTTGGCCCGTGGGAGTTTCCATGTATCTGTGGTGAGTCCGAGTGGAAATAAGGATGAGACATTTGCACTTGCAATTGATCAACTTCGACTGCTAAGAAATTCGCTTTGTCACTCAACCAGTTCT